GGAGGAGATGAAAGTCATTCAATATCACTCTTTGGTCGTCTTTGTCATAGATTCTTTCAATTTCTTTTAAAATAATAATTCTTGGTCCGGACCAATTTTTAATACTCTTAATCTCATTTAATACTTGCTCTATAAATTTATCATTTTCTTTACATTTCATGAAGTATACTTCGTTAATATTTATTTTCTTACAAAAATCAGACAGCTCCCTCACAAATTCGCCTCGCGATAATTGTGATCGGATAGCTGGATTTATATAAATAGTCATTTTCTTTAAAACATATATAAAAGTTCGAGATTCGCATGCGATTTCATTGTTCTTTCGTAATTTTTCTAAATCACTTTTATCAATAAATCTTAATTCTATCGATATCTTTGGTTTGTTATGTACCTCTACGACTCTTGGGTGATCAAGCCAATTGTCAGTATTCACAATATCATGCAAAGAATCACAGTTCTTCCGTGTCATACTACACTCCTCTTCCATTTTTTTTTTGAGCTCTTGTCATTACATTCACACTACACTCACTCATATCTTTCAAGTCTTTCGATGTAATACGTATTCTAGATAAAGCATCTGCAGCGGCATTTTCACTTCCTCTTACATACTCTACTATATAGTCGTATTTTTCTAAGGCAAGCCTAAATTTCAATAATCTACTTGACGGGTCTTTCATGTTAAAGAGATAAATAAGGGGTTTGTGGTCAGTGTAAATTTTGAAAGAACGGCCATATAAATAAGGTCTAAAGTACTTGACAGCCCAAACGACCGACAGTAATTCTTTTTCGATTGTGGGGTAATTCTTTTCTGCTCTATTTAGGGTTCGGCTAGCATATGCTATAGGCTTTCCATTTTTATTGGATAGTACGGCACCTATAGCATAACCGGATGCATCAGTCTGAACTATAAATTTCTCTGAAAATAAAAAAATTATTTTCAGAGAAATCTGGGTATTGAAGTAATGGGGGTGACATCATATCTTGTTGTAATGCATTGAATGAACGTTGACACTCATCACTCCAATAAAATTGTACATTTTTACGACATAATCTGTTCAAATGGAAAGCTTTCTCTGCAAAATTTGGAATAAATTTACGATAGAAGTTTGCGAAGGCTACAAAGCGTTTTATTTCGTCTGTATTAGTAGGAATAGGGTAATTTTGTATAACTTTGATTTTTTCAGGATCCGGTAAAACACCATCTCCAGATACAACATGACCCAAATACAATAATTCTTTTTTTTTAAATTTACATTTGTCGGGATTTAACTTTAAATTTACTTGTTTTAATCGCTCAAATACTTCAGTCAAGTTTTTATTATGGTCGGCTAAATTTCTTCCAAAAATTATAATGTCGTCAAGATAAATAAAACATGTTTCAAAAGTTAAGCCCGCCATAGCCATATTCATCATCCTAGAGAACGAATTGGGACTGGTTTTTAGGCCCATTGGCATTCTGGTCATCTGGTATTGCCCAGAACAGAATGCTGTGTACTTACGACTATTTGGTTCTAATTCCACATTATAGAAACCCTGATTTAAATCTAAATGTGTATAGTATATACAACCTGAAAGAGAGTCGAGTATTTCTGTAACATTGGGCAGAGGAAACTTATCATCTACTATTGAATTATTTAATTTACGATAGTCTATTACTAATCTCCATTTCTTATCATTACATTCCGATTTTTTAGGAACTAAGAGAATAGGGCTTGACCATTCGCTCTTACAAGGCTCAATAATCCCTTGATTTAACATTTTATCCAATTGCTTTTTAATTTCTACCTTTTGAGAATGTGGTAATCTGTATGGTTTTACATAAATTGGGTCTACGTTGGGTTTTAAAGTGATTGTATGTTTATAGATATCTGTCATAGTTAAGCTGTCTCCTGGTAAATAAAATATGTCACAGTATTTTGCACATATGTTTTCGATTGAAACCTGTTCTTCCCCATTTAGATATTCCTGTAATTTTAAAATAGAAAATAATTTCTTTACGCGTTCTGCATTTTTATTCGATTCTCCAAACATACACATATAGTACTCACTCGCTCTATGAATGCTAGGGCTAATGTCGCTCAAACAAAAATCTCTATCAGTTGTATTTATTATTCGAATAGGTATTTTTCCTCTAACTGGACTCGCTAACGTGCTGGCTACGTAAACACCCTCCGCTAACTCTTTCGAACATACCACACAATCATCTTTCATATCAGTATTTATAAAATGTATAGATTCCGTTCGCGATGGAATATGCAAAAAGTCATTATTAGTATTACTAAACGTAGGTAAATAAATTCGTTCATTATTGGAATTAATCAATGAAAAGTAATTGTTTTCATAATCTATTATCGCTGCAAACTTTTTGCAAAAGTCATCACCAATTATAGCAGTAGCTTTAGTAGGTAGAGTATCAAATACAAAGAATTTATGTTGAAAGGATCCTTGGGGCACTTTCAATTCGAGAAACACATATCCAATTGCCTCAACACTACCTCCGATACCGCTAAACACACATTTCTCTTTATGGAATGGAATGTTGTAAGTGTAAACAAGTTTAAGCTCTAGCGCAGAAATTGATGCGCCGGTGTCAATTAAACAATGCAAAGTAAAACAATCGTTAAATGTAAATTCAACAAAACGTGAATCATTATTACATGAAAACATATGACCCTTAATCTCGAAAAAATTGATTATTATTATTATTAGCAGAGGTGGGTTGAGATTGTAAATTATTTTGGTCAATGAAGTTTACGTAACTTTGGTTTTGCCCTGCTTTTAAATTAATATTATTTTTCATACCTCTACTATTTTGGTATGGGCGGGAATTACCTCGCCAATGTCTACCTCGTTGGTTGCCACGCCACATTGGTCGTTGTTGGCCTCTGCTCACTACAACGCCGCGCTGTAGGTGGGCACTGTACGATCCATATTGATGACCACGGTGATTATAACGTCCCCTGGAATTGCGAAAATAGGAATTCTTTTTATTTATGGTCATAAAATTGGGATTAGCAGTGGTTGGTGGCTCCTCATCTAATGCTGATTGAATTGCGTCTTTTAAAGATAGAAAGTTACGTGCTGTAATTATAGTTCCGGTTCTGCGATTCCGTAGCCCGTCAGCAAATTGCTTGATTGCTTGCCTTTCATTTAAGGGCTTAAGCACCTTAAATGCTTCCGGGTTGTTGTCTGCTTGTGAAATTGTTAAATCAACAAACATTTGAGTAATTTGCTTACCGTATTCCTCAATGGTCAGCTCATTCTGCTTGAAGTACAGCAACCGTGATTGGATGGCCGTAGCGGATTTTTTCGGCAAAAGCTCTTTTTTCATATCAGTAATTAAATCTGAAATACTGGAATAGCTTGGGTGTAATTTAAGTTTCGCTGATTCCGATAAGCGATTTTTCAAAACAAAATTTATTAATTGGGGCTTAGAATCGACAGTAAGGGTGGTTTCATAATATTCTACTGAATCTATTAATTGTTTAGTTACAGATTCATCATCATTCATAACTGGTAATAAACTCAGGGCGACTTTTAAATCGAATTTATCCATGTTTAAGGTTGGTATAGTTTGGCCTAAATTACTTATAAGTTCACTTTCTTTCGACTCAGATGGTGTACTTGAAGAATATTTTACAATATCTTTATATAAGGAAAGAAATTTCTGTGAATAGTCGACTATCAACTTACTATCACTAGCGCTAATATTACCACAGCTTAGTTCATTTTGCAAATAAGAATTTAATGTTAAATATTGGCTATACAAATTATTTGCTTCACTTAACTTAACAACGTAAATATTACCTTTTCTACGCTCAGGACCAATTTTTCTTAAATATTCTTTAATTATTTTTAGCTCTTGACACAATACTTTTAAATCATCTGCCATAACTCAACAAAATATGCTTATGATTAAAATTCATTATTACTAATTTTTTTTTTAATTTTAAGTTATACAAATATAATATTTTATACTTAATATTAAATAGTTGTTACGTAAGCTACATATAGACTCAAATACCTATCAAAGTCCATCTCTCCATTACGTTCCTTACAAAAGCATGTTTTGCATTCCGGAGTCAGGTTGCTCGGGTTACATCACTTACAATACATTACTTTCTTAGAATATTAATAACTTTTTCGTACAACGTAAATTAGGAATCACTTGAAATTATGTTTCTTGATCAATAACAGCTGTAGAACCCGGTAAGGTAGCCCGTTGACGTCTGAATGATCCACGGAGTATATACTGATGTATCCCCTGCTGGACCCAGCGGTGGTGCATTTTTCGGTATACTCTCCATATAATATAGAGGATGAAAAGAGCCATCAATAGCAATATTACCAGTAGTAGAATATTTGTAGTGGACGCGTGAAATTTTAACTCCTTTATATATGCGTTATTTTCTGCAGCCGCAGCATTTTGGTTTATAAAAATGTCCTCCTTTTCTACTTTAGAGTTACACATATTTTAAAACGCGAACAAAAGCAACACCATAATTTTGTTGTTTTTTTTTTTGCACATCGAACACACGGGTCGGTATCAAAACTAAGTCATCTCGCGTTACTGATGCGCCCGCTGGCAGGGTCGCCATATAAGGACGAGAGAAATGAAACGCTTGAGTGTTGACGTAAGACTGACTGTAATTACGTTATTAATAAGTTTATATATATAAGATTATACCCAAACGTACGTATAGGTACTAGGTAGATACTACATCTGTCTCTATCTCAGTTTCTTTTTTAAATAATAACTTATGACGTAAGGCAGGTGACCCAAATAAGGCCTACCTTATTTATTTTTTATTATCTAACTAGCGGGTTTATTGAGAATCCTGTATCTTAATAAAGCCTTAATAAAAACAAGTAAGCATTCAACGTCTTAATGAATACAAAACGTTGTCAATATGTATATTAAATCTAATGAGATCCCATTAATTACTTTTGATCATTTTAGACCAGATTTAACGAGTTTCTCATCATGTAAAAGTACTATATTAATCAGCCTTTTTCATCTTTTTTTTTTAAACAATCTAACAAACAGTAAAATATTTTATCAGGGGGTGTGAGTTCAACACACACCTCATGATACCAAACGCCACAAGTAAGACATTATCGCATATCAACTTGATCTTCTTTACAAGCTGTACAGTACCAAGAAGGTTTATTATCGTGACGTTTTGATTTAGATTACGTAAGCTTATCTGCTGTCAATTGTTGCTGCAGTGCTGTCTTTACTGAGGTTCGCTTTCGCGTCGCAGCAGCTGCAGGTTGTGCAGATGTACAGCCAGTAACTGCCGCTCATTTTGGTGTCTTTGTGTTAATCTTTATCATAGATGAAGTACCAGGAACATATTCTACTCTGACGATAGTACAGTAATCTGTGATGTGGAATTCGTAGCACTGTCACCAAACAAATCTTTTGTTACCTCTTAAACCCTGTAATTCAGAGACTTCTTGCGTGCAGTCGCTATAACTTTAAACTTAGAAGTTGATAAAAATTCATGAATCTCACACGTGGTTGATTGATTGTATATCTTCTGTGGAGTTCCAGCATTCGGATTGTTTTTTTGAGAGCAAGGACAGTGGCAAATTCTCAATATCTGTGCCTAACCCATCTGAATCTTCCACATTTGCAGTTGAAACCTCTTCTTCCCCCGATTCATCAGATAAGACAGCAATATTCTCACTGTTCGCAGGATTTGGAAGTTCTGACAACGCAGAGGGCGCAAACGCCTCTTCAGGAATAGCATCTGGGTTGTTTGGATATAACCCTGTAGCGCGAAACCCATTCGAGACATTGGTAATAGTCATACATTTGGACCATACTTGTGAGAGAATGACATTGAAGCTTGTCTTATTAAGCGTTCGTGCGGAATGCTGACTAACTTATTTAATCAACTCTTGGTCCCAGTGGTGCTCAAAAGAACGATAAATCCATGGGCTGTAACTCATGCTTGGTATTTGACGGAAGACAATATATTATTACAATATAATTTTGTTTTCTACCTCGCACGACTTCATTGTGGAATCGATTACCATCAGCGATTTTTCCAGATCGATACGACTTAGGGACCTTCAAGAAAAGAGCTTACTCCTTTTTAAAAGGCCGGCAACGCATCTGCAATTCCCTCCCTGGTGTTGCAGTTGTTCATGGGCGGCGGTAGTCACTTACCATCAGGTAGTCCGCATGCTCGTTTGCCCTCTCTCCTATAAAAAAATATATAAAGTAATGCCACATTTCTCAGCTTCCTCGGCAATAGTAAAGTCCAGGTGGCATTTTGCACCATCAAATATGAGAAGACATGGCCCTGATGTTCTGTATTTATGCAAATGATTAATAAACTCTATGAAAGTTTCTGTCGTCACATTTCCTTTTGACGTCATCTTCACCAAAGAGCCTGGAGGTAAATTGTCTTGGAATTCTGGCTTTAGTCTCTTGCCTTTGAACAATATCATTGTCGGAATCGCTGATCCTATAGCATTTCCGCAGCCTACCACAGTCACACTTTTAGCATGCTCATTCGCTATTTGATGAACTCTTTTTCTCCCTTTGGCCTGTCAGAACTTCCTGCTGATGGTGCAAAGATATGCGACAATTTTTTTCATCGATGTTGTAAATGCTTTCAGGTTAATGTTCAATTCCAAGTCTATCCATCACACTTTTGTATTTGGAAAAGTGATCGCTAACAATATCTTTATTTAATTTTTGAACATGAGCTGGATTGATCCTCTGTGCTTTACGATGTACTAATTCAGTGTGTCGTTTGAGGAATAACCACAACCATTTCTTCCCCGCGGCGTTTTTGGCATCATTGAAAGTGTTTGGAATTTTCTTAATTTTACAGAATGAAAAAGCCTGTACGCGCAACATCTTTAATGTCAACGGCACTCCAACATCATCCAAACGTATGATTCTTCTGACCGGTAGCGAAGCCTCCATAGAAACCGAGAAGCCGGGCTTACCCTATCAAACTGCTCAATCAATAATATCAACTAATAAAATAACTCTTAAAGTGTTTCAAACTATTTCAAATTTCCCGCGCGCTCCTCTGTTCTACACAGGTCATTAATCGCCGCGGCAAAACTGTGCGATACTGCTGTCATAAAAAAAGGAGTTGAGTTGAGCGGTTAGTCATCTCTCGCACGCGTGGGCTTTTTGCCGGGCTTTCGAGAAGACGATCGCTCCCTTTCTAACCTGTGGCAAAATGTTCTATAATGAAATATAACTATGATTGTTTATATAGCAATTAGTATGGAGCTATTAAGCCGAGCTTTTGGTCTAAAGTTAGGGGCGTTTGGGCGATACGTTTACAAGTTCACTTCACATTTCAATGTTTACTCTGTGTGTTTACTTGAGCAAATTAATATTGCGCGTTGAAAATTTATGTTTTTTAACTCAAAATACGAAAATAAGATTTTTGAAAAAGTGAGATTAGATAAACAAATGACACTCCAACCCTTTAACCGCCTATAAAATCATGTACACATACAGGGTTATTTTTCAAAGAGTAGCCAAATTTTAAACTTAAAATAATATAAAATAATACTTTGTTCAAATATATAAATAATAATATACCGTTTTTGCAGTTTTTGAAAATACGAGTAAATAAGGCTTTTACTTTTATTTGAAATTATCCCAAATTTTATGTGATTTATGGGCAACAACGGTTTTGCCTACCGATCGATCCTTGTGAATGCGTGCATGCGCAGTAAAATCAGTTAAAATAATGGATTATCACGCATTTTGAATTTAAAAGATAAAAAGGACAGAATGTTTGACAGTCTCTTATATTCTGAACCTCCTTTGAAAATTTGACCGGTTATTGCAAATTAACCATGTATATCGATCTCTTGGCTTTTGGTTAGCTCCTTTAAAGATGTTTTAATTTAAATTTAACTACTTAGGTGTGTATGGTTCACGAAGCAAATACAAATAGGAGATGGCATAAGCAACTGTGCACTGTGATTCTAACTAGGTCCTGACGTCATCACAGTGGGCGTGGCTTTACTTAGTATACTGTCAGCGTTCGACCTGTGCGTTTATGTGTAGAAAATCGCAAATCGGTGTATTTTCGTAGTATTAAGAAGAAAAGGATGAAGTGTTGTGTTTCATGGTGTAAAAACTGCTCAAATATACGCTCTGATGTTATGGACAGCATCACAATTCATTTGTAAGTAATTTTATACCTAATTTATTAAAAACGTTCGAACGTAGAAAAATATCTGCGTCGGCTTTCAAATGTAATTAAATGTATTCGACACTAGATAGTAACACTTTGTATCATGGGAACTAAAAATATAATCTTACGTAGAGCTCAGTATTGGTAAAATAATCATACAAAGGTGTTGAAATTTGTTTTGCATTCAGTCCTCAAGAACTTTTAGTCGCCTAAATATTGTTTTTATAGGTTTTATAACCATTTTGTGAACAGGCCGCCATCTATCGTCAAAGTAGCTAAACTACATTGCAACATCGATATGAAACGATGCGAGTAGTTTTACTATTTATCAGTAGATGTAGATAGTAAAGTGGGCGGGGCTTAACATCACCTCACCCCGCAAATTCTCACGCGTTGTTACATAGTAAAATCTAATTACAACACCTCCTCTTTGTATTTGCTCTGTGGTATGGTTGTACCAAACTACTAAGTCCTAACCAAATATGTGATATTAATGCTTTAGTTTGTTGTTTATACGTTTCAATTCATTCATAAATAAATATGTTTCTTTTCATAGATTAATGATAAGTCATCGCGCGCTCTGACTAGATACCGCGCACCATGCAAGTAACAGCTCCGTGAGTGCAGCATCTTAATATTGTAGTGTGTATAAGACAATTTGCATGATGCTAGTGTGCGTGAAAAATTGTATATGCCAGCAGACTATTACCCGATTAATGGGAAAATTTATTTTATTCTATGGCTTAGTAGTTAAGTTCATAGTTATGAATGTATTCCAGAAATACTTAAAAATTAATACTTTATTAATAACGAATGTATCAATATATTTGTGTATATTATGTATAGGTCTTCTGAATAAATGACATATAAATGATAAGGCCTCCTTTTTATCAGTTTAATTTATTTATTTACATGTCTAACTAATATTCACAAATTATTTAAAAAAATAGTTATATATGTGGTGTAATCAAAATAGTGTTTTTGTAAGTGGTTGCTATGGCCCATAGACATATACGTCTATCCTCGGTTAAGAATCAAAATGCAGATGCGTTGCAACCCCTGAGGACTAAGATGGAATGCCTCGTTTCCAGTAAAAAGGGTCTCCGGTTCTCTACACTCACCATAGGAAACACAGCAGCGTTAAGCTCCTATTTTACACTGGTATTCTGTGAGAGCGTGGTCCGTCCCCGGTCGAGCTGACCCATTCGTGCTACAACTATACCAGTAATATAGCTGCAGTATGGGTCTATCACGTATAAATTGAAAATTTCGAAGATGATCCCATAATAAAAAATATTCACGTTGACGGGCAGAATCATTCCCTAAGTTATTAAGTACTATTTTGTTACACCTTTAGTTAGTATATAAGACTGGGGAAAATTTCTTCGTATATTGTATACAAATTCAAGACGTTTTGTTTTAAAGTTATATTACATTTAATTATAATATATATGGGTCCATTCTGTTCGATAATTTGTTACCATCTTGTAGGTAGTGAAATAATAAAAAACGAGTTGAATGTAAATTTAAGAAAAACAACTTCCTTCTGCGTGAATCCCATATCTCTGGTGCCCTTTGACCTACAGGACCCAAATTCAAACTCGACCGAGCTACTACCTCAAACTATCCACATACCAAATTTAAAGTCAATCGGTCCAGTGGAACGGAAGTTATCGTGTCGGCATACAGACTAACAGACTGCCAGCTAAAACCATTAACTTCCTTTCAATGCTACGCAGAAGGAAGTTAATAAACGTTGCTGTAGAAATCTTGAGATTTTGATTAAACAAATGCGACAATTAGTTTTATTTGAAATATTCAATACCAGAGATTTGAAGGAACATAGATTTAATCATCCCATTTATAAAGGAAAAAAATTATAAACTTAAATATTAAAACCTTCAGAAAGGTTTCTTTTAAAGAACACAAGCAACAAAAGAAAATAATGACTAAAACTTTTAAACCAGTTTTAAGTACTCAAGCAAATACTGGATTTTTAGGAATGTTAGTGTGTATTGAAAGTCTCAAACAGATAACTAATCTTATGATCTGGCGTTATCATGATGAAAGACAACTCCTTTCTGATTATAAATGCCAGACGCTTCTTTTTCTATTTCTTGCTTGTTTCATTATTTATTGGTAGTAGAGATCCGAATCGATGGTTTTACCCATCTGTAAAAGCTCATGATAAACTTTCAATACCACCATATACACAGCATCATTTTATTTCGTGTTAATCCAGGTTTCGCTTTAGTCTGTAAACAAAACACATATCAAATACAGAAAAAAATCACGTTTCTTGTATGGTCTTCATACAAGAACGTGATTTTTTTTGGGTCCTTTAATATTTTACTTGTTTTCTTTTTTATTTTATGTTGTTATAGCAGCAAAATAAATACACATTCTATGAAAATTCCAAGTATCCACATATTACGGTTCATAAGACTTCTACTGACAGACAGACGGAACGATAGTGGAGACTTGGGTCCCGTAGATACTCTTTGGGTACGGAACCCTAATAAATGGCAATTATGTCATTTGAGCAATACTACAGAAGTAAACATTAAATAATATAGAATTAGGTTATATTATAATAAGTTTAATATATTATATTATAAAATATAGTATCAA